TCTCTTCCTCTTATTTAATCACTTTTGCTCTATCTCCCCTCTCTTCTGCTCTTTTCTCTTTCTCACATTGCATCCATCTTCTCTTCCTCTCTCCTCTTTCAGTCCTCTTTCTCCCCTCTCTTCTTCCAGTCCTCTTTCTCCCCTCTCTTCTTCCTCTCTTCTCTTCCAGTCCTCTTTCTCTCCTCTCTTCTTCCTCTCTCCTCTTCCAGTCCTCTTTCTCTCCTCTCTTCTTCCTCTCTCCTCTTTCAGTCCTCTTTCTCTCCTCTCTTCTTCCTCTCTTCTCTTTCAGTCCTCTTTCTCTCCTCTCTTCTTCCTCTCTTCTCTTCCAGTCCTCTTTCTCTCCTCTCTTCTTCCTCTCTCCTCTTCCAGTCCTCTTTCTCTCCTCTCTTCTTCCTCTCTCCTCTTTCAGTCCTCTTTCTCTCCTCTCTTCTTCCTCTCTCCTCTTTCAGTCCTCTTTCTCTCCTCTCTTCTTCCTCTCTCCTCTTTCTCTCCTCTCTTCTTCCTCTCTCCTTCCTCTCTCCTCTTTCAGTCCTCTTTCTCCCCTCTCTTCTTCCTCTCTTCTTCCAGTCCTCTTTCTCTCCTCTCTTCTTCCTCTCTTCTCTTCCAGTCCTCTTTCTCTCCTCTCTTCTCCTCTCTTCCCCCTCTCTGCTCTCCTCCTGCCATCCGTAATGAAACTGAATGAGGTAATTTGGATCAGATTGTCCCTTGCCCGGCGTTGGCTCTCAGATATAACTGGAATCAGGAGGTGAAGGGCGATCCGGAGTTCAGACCCCTCGCTGGCAGATTGTGATGGATACAAGCCTCAATGGGGGGCATTTAGAGATCACGGGGTAGCCTGTAAAATGGTGACACATCGTATCCCTGGAACATTTATATGTGGATAAGCTGCAATGATGGCGGATGTATTGGCGCTGTGACTGGTTCTCCTCCTCAGATTTGTGCTCCGGTTTGATGTCGGTACATTTCAGTTGAAGATGCTGACAAATTGCATCACCCTCTGAGCTTATTCAGCCATTGACCTGGGTGGTGAGTTCTCAGCTCCAACCATACACACCAATACCGTAGTCTCCCTCTTCTGGCTGGATTCTATATTGTATTTATTATAAAATGGTGCTAGAGAAGTGAGACTCCCTTGCAGCATGTAATACTGAGTGCAGTAAGATCTATGAGCTGGGGTCTTTGAGTCTTATGGAAAGCTAGTGGTTCAGTCCACCCCTCGGAATCGATAAGGAAGACTCCTGGTGTGACGGCGAGCCCACTTTCTGGAGATCTTGGCCACTTTCCTCTTCAGCACCGACTCTTCTCCGGGTTCTTCAGGGTTACAGATCCGCAGAATCCGGACTCGGTAAACACATCTTCCCAGAACAATGGATTATTGGTGGACGCCATAAATTACCCACAATTAGTTTTCTTCCTAATTAGCAGGCTAAATCTGCCAATGTGTGCCGTCCGCTCGTCAACATAAAGTGCTTAATAAGCGCTCGCTATTGAAACGCACACATAAGTCTGGCTGGCAGATTATTACGCAGCGGATACCAGAATATCAGACCCAGAGCTGGCAGGACTGCAGGCCGACACGTGCGCCGCGACTCCGTCCTCCCTCACGGCGAGATCTAGAGAGAAACATCTGATTTCTGTGCAATGCCTCTTCTATTTGCAGCTAATGGATCCATGGCGGGTCGGTGCCGGTACTAAACGTAGAAGTGACGTAGTGCCCCCTACAAGACTCTGTGCTACTGTGCCTCCTGTGTTCCCAGTGACTCCTGTGTCTCCAGTGTGCCCCCAGGTGCTCTGTGGCTCCAGGTTGTGCCCCTGAGCATCCCTATGTCTCCTAGTGCACCCCCCATAACTCCCTATGTCTCCAATGTGCACCCCTGAGCATCCCCATGTCTCCTAGTGCACCCCCCATAACTCCCTATGTCTCCAATGTGCACCCCTGAGCATCCCCATTTTTTCCAGTGCACCCCCCCCCCATAACTCCCTGTGTCTCTAGTGCACCTCTGTGTGCCCTCATGGCTTCCTGGTCTCCATTGTGCCCCTGAGCAGCCCCATGTCTCCTAGTGCAACCCCATGATGTCTCCGGTGTGCCCCTGTGTGCCTCCATGACTTCCTGTGTCTCCATTGCACCCCTGAGCAGCCCCGCAGCCCCTAGTGCACCCACAGGACTCCCTATGTCTCCAATGTGCCCCCATGATTCCCTGGTCTCCATTGTGCCCCTAGTTTTCTAGTGCACCTCTGTGCACCACCATGATTCCCTGTGTCTCCATTGCACCCCTGAGCAGCCCCATGTCTCCTAGTGCAACCCCATGACTCCCTATGTCTCCAGTGTGCCTCCATGACTCCCTGTGTCTCCATTGCAGCCCCGCATCCCCTAGTGCACCCACAGGACTCCCTGGTCTCCATTGTGCCCCTAGTCTTGCAGTGCACTCATGTGCACCAACATGACTCTGTGTCTCCATGGCGCCCCTTAGCAGTCCTGAGTCTCTTAGTGCACACCTGTGTGCCCCCATGACTCTGTGCGTTTATTTTGCGCCCCTGTGTCCCCCCCCCATGACTCCAAGTGTGTCTCCATGCAGCCTCCAGTACACCCCACAGATGTCTGGCCGGCTAGGGTCCATAATCAGTACCCTCTCCACCTTCAGGTGCGCTCCTCCGATCACCTGGACTGTCCTTCTCTTAGTCAGTACGGACCCCCGGCCGTGACCCACCTGAACTACATACATTCCGGGTGCATCAGAACAAAAGGTTGAATTTATCTCTGATTCCTCTTCTTCCACATTAAAGATAATAAAGGATTTGTATCCACCAAATGACGCGCGGCGTTATCACCTGAGCTGGCGTTGGCGTTGTGCGGCATCATCTGAGCAGTCGTTTCATAGCTGACTTGGCAGGCCGACGCGCCCTCCAATCCGCCACTGATTGCCGCTCT